GCTGCAGTTTGCCCAGAAACCGTTAGGGTGGAGAGAGAAACCTGACTCACTCGGCCTGTGCCACGGCACGCTGACTTGGGTGTGCGGGGAAGGGCAGCTTTGCTCATGCAGGACCAACCTCTGAGCTTCTGCTTTCCAAACAGCAACTTGTGGGAGAGAGTCTGGGACTGGTGGGGGGCTGTTTGGCATCCAGCAGCAGCAACGCAGGGTTGGAGGCAGCAGGATTTCTCTAAACGGAGAGCGCGTTGGCGCTGGGAGAGGTGGTTTTGCTCTGTGGGTTGTAAGGAGCAGCCAGGCCATCTGTGAGCCAAGAGGCTCAGGGAGCGACTTGGCCAATGTACACTTTGACAGTGCCGAGCAGTTTCTCCTGGCCTTTTCCATCCAAGGAACGAGTGCCTTGGATAGACAAGTCATTGCTCATGGCTAACCTGGTTTGCTTGGGAATCCTCTCCAACCTATAAAGGCATTTATCTGCGCAGCACAAAGGCTGCTCAATAATTCTGTTTCCAGTTCGCAGTGGGGATGGCACTTTGGTCCTAGATGTCCTCTGTGCGAGCGGGCAGGTAGACCTTGGCACGGGCGGCATAAAGCAGCGAGTCTCTGTGGCGGCATTGGTGTCTGCCTGGCATTGCTAACGCGCCTGCGCGTGTGTTCAGTTCTGTTTACAAGGACTCCAACACCCTGCACCTCCCCACGGAACGCTTCTCCCCGGTCCGCCGCTTTTCTGACGGTGCTGCCAGCATCCAGGCTTTCAAAGCCCACCTGGAGAAGATGGGCAATAACAGCAGCATCAAACAGCTTCAGCAGGTAAGACAGGCGTTGCAGGAGCCCGTGCGGGGCCTTTGTATGTATTTATTCACGCGGCCCGCGCGACTGCGACGGCCGCCGAGGGCTCACGCTGCTCCAGAGCATCCCCGCGCAGGGGCCTCCTTTATGGCTGTGTTTTAGAGCATACTGTGTGCTATCCCTAGGCAGCCAGGGCAGCTCTTATCAATGACTTGGGCCTGAGCTGGCCCCAGGAGAGGACTTCCACCTTGCAGCCCAGGGGCGGTGCGAGATGCTCTTCTCACCTCAAGGTTCTGCCGTTAGAGCTTTGTGCCCTCCTTGCGAGGGAATGAAACGGTACCGGCGTGGGGCATCACACAGACGGTTCTGCTCTGTTGTGTAAGAAGGGAGCTTAGCCCTGTTATTACACACCTGACTTCCCCAAATTAAGTGCATTAGGTTTTCCTCACTGCCCTTGTCAGACAGCTGAGACACCCGTGCCTTTGGGCACAGCGGGCCTGCTGTGCACTGAAAGGTCACCTCGCGGTGCTGGCCTCCTTGCAGGAGTGCGAGCAGCTGCAGAAGATGTACGGCGGCCACATGGACGAGCGCACGCTGGAGAAGACGCAGCAGCAGCACATGCTGTACCAGCAAGAGCAGCACCATCAGATTCTTCATCAGCAGATCCAGGTACCGGGGCTTGAGGCAGGGCGCGCTTGCACGGCTGCCGCGACAGCAAGAGCTGCAGCCAGGGAGTGAATGTCGGGAGAGTCTCGATATGTCCTGCTTCACCCCGTGTAACTTGTTTATTCTAAACTTCCTAGCTGAGCATTGTTGGTCACAGATACTTCTCTTTTCTGCTACCCGGCTCAGGACTGTATCCGGCCGCCTCAGCCATCCCCACCTTTGCAAGCTCCGTGTGAAAACCAGCCAGCTCTGCTCACTCACCAGCTTCAGAGGTAAAGGAGGTGTTGGAGCAGCGCTGCGGGAAGGGGCTTTGCTTTTCCTCAAGCTCGGCGAAGAGCACAAGGCCAGCGAGGATGGCTGGGCCAGTTCCCAGGGGCACGTGCCTTTGGCTGGGCCAGCCTTTCAGCTGGACTCTGGCCAAGGGATTTTTGAAAGGAGCAGAAATGTGCTTTGAAGGCAACAAAAATCAGCGAGATAAGATAACTGGGAGTTTCTGCCTTGTGCCCAGGCTGTCAATGTGACCTCCGTGAGTTAGCGTCCCTGCAGGGATGTGCTGGGAGCTGCCTCGGGGCTGCTCGGAGCTCTCCCGGTTTCCGTGGGGGAGCGCTCCCTGTTCGCCGCGCCCCGGCCTCGCAGGCAAAGGGCAAAGGAAGGTTCTGCCTCCGGGGGAGGGCTGGGGGTGTCCTTGTGCCAGGGTCTCCCCTGGGGTGTGCTTGCTCCCTGCGTGACCTAAGGAGGTTTAGATGGGCCTTAGGACCACGTTGGCAGAAGCCTAGGGCCCTAAGCAAGGGCTGCTTTGTGAAAGGACGGAGGGGCGGCTGGGGGTTTCTGAGAGGTGCTTGTTCCCCGCGCAGGTTGCGGATCCAGCCGTCCAGCCCGACCCCCAGCCACCCCAGCAACCACCTGTTCCGGAAGCCCAAAGGCAGGCC